TTCTGGGAAGATGGTTACCAATCTCTGGACAATCATGATAGCAGTCTGTGAGTGCCTATAATGAGAAGAAGGAAAATGGCCCTGGGCCTCCATGTTAGACCCAGTGTCAATCTCCATTATGGATGTGGTTCAGGATTCCCTGGAACACTGAATGGGAGCTGTTGGCAAGATGTTCCTTGAGCTTTGCACTTTCTCATATATGGACATTTTTTAAATCAAAATAAATGACCAGAATCCTGATTCTCCCCAGATAAGAATTTTCGCCCTAAAGCCAGAGTGACTTTTCATCTTTTATTACTTTCTGCATGAAGAGAAACAATATAGCTGTGCTGCACATTACTGTGCCCATTTACTTCAAGATGGACATTTGTGATCTTTGTGTGCTGCTAACAGAGATATAATACAGACTTTGAGAAACAGAACACTTTTCTCTATGTTTTAAGGTGAAACCATTCATTAGGGTCTCAGCATCCCTATACACAGTGGACCCTACAGAGATGGAACTAAAAAATCAAGCTTAACTGTTACTGTGAAAAGGAGTGGGCATAGTAGGATTTGGAATACAAGTAAGAATATAGACCCAGGATGAATTCTCAGGTTTGTGGTCAAAGGCAAATATTTTATGAAATGGAAGCACCAGGAAAGAACAGGTAGTGGGTGTGGGGACAGGATAATACATTGTTTTGCCTGGATGTGTTTGGGGTGTGCTTTAAGGGGCCAGGGGGAGATGCTGGGTGAGCATATGGATATGCGCAAATGCAGAAGACAGGCTGGACATTTGGGAGCTGGAAACATGGCAATGTAACTGCAGCTTTGAGAGTCATTTGGTTATCTAGGGCAATCAAATGGCCAAATATCTAAACCTAAGGGATTCTAAGTGTTAGAAGAGGAGAGGACAAAAAGGGAAACAGATACAGCAGTGAGGCTGATTGACTATACCTAGGAGAGTAATGGCACCAACCCCATGTGTTTGGAGAAAGGAGAAATGGTCATGGCAGAAAAAAGTGGACACTGTCATCAATAGGGGTCAAGTCCCCAAGTGAGTCTCGTTTGTGTCACCTGAGATGGTCACAATAGGGTAGGAATTTCTCCAATAGACAGTGGGATAGACAGGATATTTCTATCTATAGAGCAACCCAGAATCTTCTGGGTTCTCTCAGAAGGCAGAACCAGGAAAGCAACCAGGAACAAATATAGTTCCTGATAGTTCCTGATTCATATGTAAATGCTGATTCTCATTTAAAAGAAAGAATAAAGGGGTTTTCTGTTTTAATCACCTCCTTTTCACCCCATTGGTGAGGGAGGGATGTCTACCACACAGTTTGGGGGACAGCAAGTAATGGCATCTGTCACTGGACAGATGGATTGGCAAATGTGTATTAGTCACATATACTCCTAAACCAAGGAAGGAGGGCAGTGCCAGACATGCAGGCCTCACCAAGGTTGCCCTCAGGAACAGAGGGAGCAACCAGGGGCTGTGGAGGGTGGGTTATGCCCTGGTTTCCCTGGGAAGTTATGGCATGCTTGTTTAAATAATTCCATGGCTGACAGGGAACTAAAGCTTGGTATTCTAGGCTGAGCAGGGTTACACGTGGCCCCTTGACAAGGAGCATTGTTTAGCTGTGGGACCTTATCCAGGAGAGCAGATTCAGGAAGGGAACTTGCAGATAGGCTGTTCAAGGCCTTCTCAATTTTACCAAATGTCACAGCAGCACATAATGTTGAACTTTAATGTTAGTCTTTACACTGCATTTTCTTGATTAGGATAGGGCTCAGTCACAGGCCAGCTATTTCTCATGAATACATATGATTGTATTTAACACAGTGTATCTTCATATCTGCTCTATAAATTTGGTTGGGTTCAATGAGTAAAAGTTACACCACAGGATTTGGATGGAAATGCTGTCAAATTTTATCTTCTTCAAATGAAATTAAACATGGTTAAAGGCCACATATTAAGACTGGTAAGAAATCCAGTACCAGTTGTTTAAGGGAGTCCCTCCCTATTCTGTTTATAAAACAATGCAATTTCCACTTTCTCTGCCCATTCAGCAATGGAGCCTAAGGGATTCTAAGTGTTAGAAGAGGTGTTCTAGTGCCAAGGAGCTATATCTTCCCTGGCACAAACTGGTCATCTGTGCCTGTGGTCTTTCAAATTCAAAGACACTGTCATAGGTTCAGGGGCCCTTCAGATATAGAATCCACAGTCCAGAAACCCCTACCAAGCCCTTCAACTCATAGGAAGCCTTTAGCCAAGAAAACAGGAATACTGTCTTAGCAGTTTATTCAATCTTATCAATTTCTCAAAAAACCACCTTTCCCTGCATCATTTTAGTGATTTTGGTACAGGCAAATGAATTTTGTTCCAGGACCTTGATTTATCTGCGAGATAATACAATGGTTCACAATTTTACAAAATTCACCCTCTCTTTTGTAGCTGATCTTTCTGTGTTAGAGACTCTGGTTTTATAGGAAAACCTTTTCTGGTCACATAGGCCACTCCTACTGAACTTCACCACAGACCAAGAGTTCTTTTTCTGAAACTCCATTCCATGTAGTTGCTTCACAGCTCAGGGAGAAGCACATAACTGTCCATGCAGGTTCACACAAAGGCAATGAGTTCCAGATTCCCACAGCGCTAGTCTTCAAAGTCTCACTGGGGATACAGACATTGTTTTATCTTCTAGCTGAATAAAGTGGAGAAATGCAAGATCTGTGGGGATGAAGGAAAGCTCTTCAACTGCAGTCGTTGTTTCAGCTTCTTTCATAAAGACTGTTACATCCCACCTGTGGATCCTAAGAGGTTTGTGAGATGCACACCCCTCTCCTTCTATGGACCTTCTTCCTGCCATGCACACTCACAATGCACTCACCCAGACACCATCTCCCACCCAATAAACTGCTGCTTCTACTCTATGGAGCATGTTTTCACATGAGAGTCCTAGAGAATCTGGGAGGTGACCCCTCATTCCCTGGTTGTGCCTATCAGCCATTCCTGAAAGGAGGTCAGTGGCAGCCATGGGAACAGAGGTGTTTCTGGGGCTTGCCTTGCTTACTTACACCTTTCATTACAGGATCGGTTGGATATGTACCTTCTGCACAATAAAAATGTCTTCAAGAAGTCAGCAGTGTTACAGTGAATCTGAAGTCCTGGAGAGACAGATGGTGCCAGAAGAGAAGTTAGTGAGTTGAATTTGACCCAAGACATCTCCTTTCTGCTCACATGAGAAGTCAATCAGGAATGGGTGAGGGAAAGGGCTTCAAAGGGTTACAGCATGGCATATAAGCTGCTCTTCTGACCATGCCTCAACCCTCAACCACACTGAAAATTCACCAGAACCTGGTTGCAGAAAGAAAAAGAAGAAAAATAACTTAGCTATTATATGTTAGTGTCCAGAGCAATCCCTGTTCAGGGAAACTTCCAGAAGACTACTGTGGTCATACATCTGTCTGGGCATGCATATGGGCTCATTCTCTCCGAGCTGCTTTTCATTCACAATCTCCTTCTTTTGCAGAAATGTGAACTCTCCTCCTAAAGGTCTATTGCCATTTAGAGAGCAACATTTTTCCGAATATTCCACATGAAAATTATGTGAGTAAGAACAACAAACCATGATTACAAGCCTCCTTAATATTACCCCACCTTGACATGGTCACTGTGGGATCTGTGATATGAAGCCCATGGGAGGGAGAGCATGTGAACTGTTTTTCTATTTACCCTGCATTTCCAACTGGATTTATGGAATCCACAAAAGACAGACATTGACCTGTGTCAGTAATACTCCTATTGATATATTTTTTTCTTCAGTTTCAAAAGGCTTCTCAATGCCTAAAGACACTTAAGGACTTGGATGAAATCAAGGATAGTCTAAATAAAGAATGTTATTCCAAAGTGGAGGAGTTTGTGCTTAAAGTGAA